GGCCTAATTTTATTAGGACAAGAAAGGGAGATCTGTGTCTTAATGGGCCTTCCAGTACTGTTAACAATTTTGATGGGGTGTTTGTAGCAAAGGGAGTTGGAACTGAATGCAAGGCCCATGTACATGGTCCTACCAAAAAATCTCTTTCTACAAAAAATATGAAGAAATCTCTAAAGACGGATGGCTCCTCAAAGCCACACATTGGGAACAGAAAGATTAACCCATTCCTTCCTTTTAACAAATTGAGCCTGCTTCCTGGACAATCTCAACCTGTGAATCGCCGGAAGAAGAGTTCGAAATCGAGGGGTGAAAAGCAAGATAATGTCGATGTGGCTGGTGATGTGGAGTCAGATTCGCTACACAATTCTGATTTCTCTTCGTCAGTACAAGATGGTGGTATTAATGTTATGCTTGGGATTGACCTTGAGGTTGTGTTACCAAGCTTCCCAGAACAGGAGGAAGGTCCAGTTCCGGTGGGGGGGCGTGAAAATTCAGGTTTGGAACTATTACTACAATCTGGTAGCGGTGATGGGGTGCCCGATAGACGAGTGGAGGAAGCGGAGAAATTGATTAAATTAGCAGAAGATGTGGGATTGAAATTTCAAGGTGGTGAAGGCGAAGATTTGGCGCGTATGGTATCTATGGAAGGACGAGATTGCGAGGAGAAGGAGGGTAGGGAGATGAGAAGGGAAAACTCCGGTTTTCAATGATAGTGGGAACCTTCAACATTAGAGGGTTGGGGAGTAGGGTGAAGAGGAGGAAAGTTAAAGAGGTGATTGGTGTTGAAAAATTAGATTTCTTGGCTCTACAGGAAACTAAAATGGAGGAGGTAACATCTTCATTGTGTCGTTCTTTATGGGGTAACAATGACTGTGATTGGGTTTCTATTCCGGCAGTTGGAAATAGTGGTGGAATCCTCTCATTGTGGAGAAAATCACTAGGTTCGATTGTCTTCTCCTTTACAGGGGATGGCTTCGTTGGTGTTTGCTTGGATTTGGCCGATAAACAAATCAGATGTTGTGTGATCAATGTCTATGCTAAATGTAATTTAGCAGATAAGAGACGGTTATGGAGTGATCTTCTCATGACAAAGCGAGGATTTGGGGATATTGTTTGGTGCGTGGTGGGCGATTTTAATTCGGTAGTTGATATTACCGAAAGGAGGGGAGTTGCCTCAGGGGCTATTCATAGTCCGTCAAGGGAGATGAGGGANTTTGGTCAGTTCTTGGAAGAGTTAGAGTTGGTTGATTTGCCTCTTATTGGAAGAAGTTTTACTTGGTTTCATCCGAATGGGACAACGATGAGCAGGTTGGATAGAGTTTTGGTGTCTCTGGATTGGATTCCGTTGTGGGGAAATCCTAATGCGTGGGTGGCACCGAGAGATGTTTCTGATCACTGCCCAATTATCTTGCGTTATGATTCTACGGATTGGGGTCCCAAGCCTTTCCGTTTCAATAACTTTTGGCTAAAAAATAATAAGTTCAAAGCTCTTGTCACTAGTACATGGGAGGCGCAAAATTTTACTGGCTGGATGGGTTATATCCTTAAGGATCGTCTAAAGGGTCTTAAGGGTGTTATTAAAAGCTGGAGTGGAGAGGTATATGGCAAACCAGTGGAACGAAAGAATAGCTTAGTGGAGAAAATTAAAACCCTTGATCTGAAGAGTGAACAGATGGGAATTTCGGGAGAGGAGGTGGAGACTCGTAGAAGATTGTTTGATGAATTGTGGGTGGTGCTCAAAAGTATTGATGCATCAATTTTTCAACGCTCTAGAGCGAGATGGCTTAAGGAAGGTGATGCCAATACTAAATATTTTCATTCTCAGGTTAAGATGCGAGGGAGAATAAATAATATTCCGGCTTTGCTAACGGAAAATGGATGGGTTGAAGGTCCTGCTGATGTGCGCCAGGCAACAATGTCTTTTTTCCAGCAACACTTTCAAAGTGCAGAGTGGGATCGACCGACTTTAGATGGAGTGGAGTTTCCGGTACTGTCTGATGATTGTAATA